ATAGGGCCTGGGGCTATCAGCAGGGCTGCACGGCCTCGTGGGTGCTCTTGAGGTGAAGGCAGAGGGGGTCATGCCCTGTGTCCCCCGGCTTGCTTGTGTTCATCCAGGCTCCCTCTCTGCACAGCCCTCCCCGGATCCGAAGGAAGCATGTTCCGGTTCATGAGGGATGGGGAGCCAGAGGACCCCATGTTTGCAATGTGCGTATGAAACTCCAAATATGTATTGTCTGGTGTGGGAGTGGGTCCAAGTAGATGACATTAGGGAAGACTGGGTGTCAGGACTCACAGATTGTATTTTCCACTCTCAGAGGGAAGTAGGGTCATGGTTAGGTCAAGGAGTCAAGATTGGTGGGGTACCTGGGACTTTGCTTCCTAAGGTTTCCTCTTCCTGTTGACCCCCTGCAGGGACCCTTTTGCTATTCACCGTCAGCATATGAACCGCATGCTTTCTGGAGGCTTTGCATACAGCCCCTTCCTCAGCATAACTGATGGGACCATGCCTGGGGCACGTCAGGCCAGCCGCAGGATGCAGGTAAAGGGGATGCTGAGTATAGTTGAAGAATCTGCCCTGTGACTTCCCATATGGTTAGGATGGGGCAGTTCTCTTTGCACAAAGTGGGGGAAGGAAAACTAGTCCCCTAAAACGTAGCTGTTATATTTCTTTTACTTCATATTCTTCCCTCCAATCCACTGTCTTGCAGAGCATTAGTGTCTTGGGGTGATGGAGGACAAGTGCCGTTTTGCAGAGCTTAAATTAGAGGGGGGGAGGGGGCAACTACGACCCATGGGCTGCTTCTGACTCCACTGACCCTTCAGTTCACCCCCAGGCTCCTACTATGGAATGGGTCATAACAGCCTTGCTAGAAGGAGTTAGACTAACTCCTGAGTAGGGGGGCAAGCAGGGGCAGCTAGCTCCTAATATCTCCCATTCTGTCCCCTCAACTCCCCCAACTCCTGGCAGTGTGGTCACTGTGCCACCAGCTCTAATGCTCTGGGCTGCATGGCTGTAGCTCCGGCTGAGTGGCGCAGTCAAGGTGGGGGTTGGAGCAGGGAGGGTTGGATGGGGGAAGAGGTCCTAGGGGTGGGACGTTGGGGGGTTGGATAGGGAACAGGGAGTCATGGGGGAGCAGTCAAGTGGTGTTGAGCTGGGACGAGGGAGTGGAATAGGTGATGGGCAGTCAAGGGACATGGAGTGGTGGGAGTTGGATAGGGGGCAGGAAGTCCTGGGGAGCTGGTCAAGGGGTGGAGAACTAGGGAGACTGGATAAGGAGCAGGGAGTTCTGGGGAGCTGGATGGGTGTGGGAGGTGAGCATCAGGCAGGAGTTGGGAGTTACAGCCTTTACCCTTCTCAGCCCTTCATATAATTTCCATATCTGCTGTGACCTTCAGGCCAAAAAGTGTGCCTGCCCTTGGCCAAAATTAATCTCACTAGAAGAGGTTTGAAGGTGTCGCTTCTCCCCCAGCCTATACCTTAAGTGCAGTGGAGGAGCATGCAGCAGTTTGAGAGACAGTGTTTGTTAAATCATTTGGCCACTTGGTGGACTGTTTCTTTCTATTTCCTGTGATGGGGAAGGAGTCCTGAGTATGGACAAAGGATGAGTCCCTGCTAACTTTTCTTTCTCTTTTTTGCTCCCTGCAGGCAGGAGCCATCTCACCCTTTGGAATGTTGGGAATGGTAAGGCCTCAATTTCTCTGTGCAGCTCTGGGGCCTTCCCCAAAACATAACATCCAGATTTACAGCCCCCCAACAGGTCACTTTATCCCCAAGTTCTTCAGGTGCTCCAAATAATCAGCAGTGCTGCGATGCAGCCACCTCTAGGTGAGCGTGTCGGCAAATACAATACTGGGAAGGGGGAAAGAACATGGACATCGGGGCAAACCCCGGATCATAGGAAAAGACCCTAACACGGTGTGGGCCAGTGGGTCGGAAACCTGGGCTTGACTCATAGCTTTCACTGGCCCTCTGACTTTCTGAGGTCAATTTATTTTTCTGTGCCCCCTTCAGTCTGTTTAGAGTAGAGTTTCTCTTATTAAATGGTTGCACAGAATCTTGCACAGTTGAACCCTAAGCTCAGTTGCTTCTGTGATACAACGAATAAATACACAAATGGGAAGAGCAGGCGGAACTCTGGCTGTTTAGGTATGACCCTGCAACCCACCTGCCAAGCAAGCTGCCTGGAGCTCAGAGGGGGGCAAGGCTGAGACTTGGATTCCAAGGGCAGGTAATAAATCTGAGCTGGGGACTATTAACTATTCAGGAAGAAGACCTGGATACCATTAAAGAGTCTTAATGAAAACCTCTGCTTAATGGGTAATGGTTGTAAAATAAGCCAACAAAACATTAGCATGTCCAGGAATAGGACGGAAAATAATAACTGAGCTATTACAATGTCTTTCCATAAATCAGTGGCATGCCCTCACCTGGAACACTGTCTCGCCCCCCCCCCGCACACCACCACCCCG